TTGACATGGTCAGCCGGGAAGCCTTACGCCATAAAGAATTCGAAGACAAAGTTCAACTTACACGAATACGTGATCATTTTATTTGTACTCATTCAGATAATCATGATCCTCATTGCTTTATGATTGGTTGTAAATAATTATTTGCTAACACGAGAAACCTTTAATATTTATTTAGTTAACGTTGAGTCTACTGGCATTATGGATTCTGAAAAGATTTTTCTTGATTCTGTACATATTCTACAAGGGAAATGTAGACGGCTTTCAACTGCGTTAGAACATAAATTAAGAGAAAAAGAAAGGAATCGCGAACAAATGGATATTAGTTAATTAGTAATCCGAGGTGGTCAGAATTTCAAATCGTAACTTAGTTGTGATTATTTTAATAAATTTGATTAGTTTAACAAATCTATACTACTAAAATTCTAACGTCTAGCATGCCGCCCGCATCTGATTGATCAATTTTATCCCTGTGATTACTGTCACACACATCTGCATATCTATAAGTTATATAATTTCGACTTAAATATTAAAACAATTTTTTGATTTTTGGATCTAAATTACTAAAACGTTTACGAAAAACCTATGGACAGTTTTTAGGGACAGTATAGACAGTAAAATTCACGCGATACTAAAAACCAATAACCCTGTCTCTAACTAACTATTCATATGGCATGCACTGTCCCTAAGAACTGTCCATAGATTTTCCGATGGGTTTAGGGAAAGCACCTACCAAATATAAATCAACCAATCAAAACTAACACAACCTTAATATTTGGTAGGTGCCAAATCACGCAAACTGGTAGGTGTCCGGATTATGCTGCGAAAATTGCCAAATTATACATGCGGCAAATAGTAAATTATGCAAAATTATGCAAGGTTTTTACCTAAACTATGCTCATATTATGCATTATATTGGAAATTATGCGAAAATATTTTTTATCAGAAATTGAAACTAAAGTCAAAAAAAAAGATTGATCATTTTTAATAATTATAATATTTTATATTATACTCGTGAAAAATTATCAATTACTTTATTTATATTGAAGACATGTCAAATACGTA